CACTTGACCTCTTGAATTGAAAAATACAAGGAGTTAGTCTATCCTTTTCTTTTCTTATTTATTTTCATTTCTTTAATGAGTTTTAGATGCTGGGAGCTGTCTTGTTGGGTTCATGTAGGTTTCAGTGAACTTTATTTTCTATCCTAGTTTTTGTTTCTAAAAGTTTGTACTCTCATCAAAAGAAACATAGTTTCTACCCAATTTTAGGCTTAACTTGTAAGCTCTTTAATCTGTTTTTTTAGTTTATGTTACTAAATGAAATACAAATGTTTTTGTCAAGGCTAATAAGTAGGTTTGTGTCTAAAAGTATATTTTAAATTAGCCTTTTCATTTTATTTTCTCCTTCACTTAAAATCTTTGGTCCATAACAAATATTTTTATCCTTTGAAATTATGTTTTAAAAATCTTATGAAGTAAGCAGTACCCTGAACCCCATAAATGCATCAATGTATAAAGTTATAGTTTAATAAACAATAATTTAAAAAATCTTATGAAGTAATAATAAATGTCAGTAGTGGAGAATTAAAAAATAGAGATAGGCAGGAAAGAAGAAATATCACCTATAATCCTTGTTCCTTTTGTTCCTAGTCTTTATATACAGATAGGCAATCTATTTAGCATAAAGGAAAACTATATCTAAAAAGTTCTAAAGTAGGGTGGCGCCTGTGGTTCAAAGGAGTAGGGTGCTGGCCCCATATGGTGGAGGTGGTGGGTTCAAACCCAGCCCCGGCCAAAAACTGCAAAAAAAAAAAAAAAAAAAAAAAAAAATTCTAAAGTATTAGTAAAGTAATTTCTTTGGAAATTATTGATTTTTGTTTGTATTTGGTATCTTTTCCCTTCTGGGTAATTTTTGCTTTCTACACAAAGTAACACATCAGTTGATTAGTATCTTCTGTCCTCAAGGTGCTGTGGTTCAGTAGAAGAGAAAATAATATGTTTTAAAAACTATGTGGTATAAGTTAATAAGTAAAAAATATCAGGTAAGATAGTTTATTTGGGAATTAAGAATAAGGAGGGGATCTTTTGATAGAAGATAGAGGTATTATTACTATCTTTTGGTAGAAGAAAAGATATTATTTCAGAAAATTAAGAATTATAAGAATCTAAAAAAATGCCATAAAGGTTTCTGGTCCGAGTCAAGTAAAAATACTTGTACCTATATAATTATATATATATGTACATTTTGATTTATTAATTAAGAAAGAAATTACAGTTTCAAAAATTCTGGAAGTCAGGGAGAATGCTTGAGAATTCACTCCCTGAGCCGGGGCTGCCGTCAGGGTCTGAAGATTCTCTCAGTCCTTCCTGGGAGTTGGAAAGGTACAGTGTAGAGGCAGGAATGGCCCCGGATGCTGAGGGGTGCTTGGCCAGGGAGGAGTCACAGATGGGGAGGCCTGGTGAGGGCTCCGGACTCGACCTTACTCATTACCTCTGGGTCTTCATATATTGTTGTCAACTTCTCTTCCTTCCTCTTGCCATTTTTTCCCATCTGACATGTATTGCTCAAGACTCTGGGTGCATGGCTCTGCAAGTCTCCATTTGAGACTTCTGGCCCCCTGGAAATCTCTTGCTTACAGCTGAAATTGATTCTAACCCATGGAAGAAAGATTCTTTTTTGGAAGGTTGTGATAGGCACTGTTGCCTTCCACTTCTCCCTTGCTGAACAGAATACTGATACTGGTCTGGGTGGCAGTACCCTGTCCTTTGCTAGATCTCTATGTTCTCAGCCTCCCTAACAGGGCTGCCTGGCTGTGTCACACAGTTCTGGTCCATACATTCAAGGGGACATCTGTGTGTGTGTGTATGGGGGAGGCATCTCAGAGAAAAAGGAGGTCTGCTGTTGTGTGGAACTCAGTTGTGTGCCAAGGTGATGCTGGAGGATGAAGAACCATCTTTTATCAGTAGGGCAGCAAGTCTGAGGATGAAGGGGCAGTGAGTAAGAGGGCAGGGCAAGGGGAGAGGGAGAGCCTGGGGTTCCTGTCCACTCTGCTGAGGTTCTGGATCAAGTGTTGAACTGCCTGTCACCAAGCAACTTGTTAAGTGTCATAATTAAATGTCATTTATAGTCAGTGTCCTAGAACTTGTAACCAAAAGAGCTGTTACCTCTGTGCCTGGCTCAGAACACTACATGCCAGAAGAGGGGGTGGAATGTGACTCAGGAGATTGAATGGGAAGAGGGGCTATGGCAAGCGCCATATCTGGGCCTGTGCCCCATGAACGCTGTGGTTGGGTGCTGCCTGGGCACCACCCACTGGAGGGCTTCTGGGTACTGCAGCTGATGCTTCCCCTGCTGGGTCGGCTGCTACACAGAGATGTTAAACTGGCCCCATAGCTCCAGAGCAGCAATGCCCAGTGGGAACATAATGCACAGCTCAGGTGTCAGCTTACATCTCCAGTAGCCACATTCATAAGGGTGACGACAACTGCTTGGAAGAATTTTAATAACATTTTTTATTAAACTGCGTTTATCTATAATATTAACGTTTCTATGTGTCATCAGTATAAACGAATTACTGTCTGGGCACAGCTACTCCAGAGGCTGGGGATTGCTTGGCCAGGAGTTTGAGGCCAGCCTGGGCCACATAGAGACCCTATCTCTTAAAAAAATTATTAACAAGATGTTTTACATTATATTTTCACACTAGGTTTTAAAATCTGATGTTTGTTTACATTCATGACATATCTCACTTGTACTTGTCCCTTTTCAGGTGCTCTTAGCCTCAGATGACCAGTGACCTGTGTATTGGCCAGATTAGCTCTAGGATCTGGCCCTTGGGCAGGAGTGTTGGGTTAGCCAAACCTAAGTCACATGATTGAGGTTCTCATGCAGGGCCAGGGAGGGGAGAGACTGACTCCGTTTGCTGTCCCTGAGAAGCCTGTCATTCTGAGAGTGAGAACCTGGGCAGCCAAGGCAGGGGTTCCCTCCAGGAACTTGTCCCTCCGCTTCCCCGTGGGTCTCCAGTCAGGCCTTCTCTGTTTCCTGCCCCTTAGAAGTTGATGTTCCTTAAGAGGCCATTCTTGGCCTTTGGTCTTTTTTGACTCTTTCTTTGGGTGCTTTCATCTGTTCTTCTGGTTTTAGGCATTACCTGTTTACTTTCATATCTGTCTCCAGCCCTGTTACTTTCTAGTTCTACAGCCGTGTGCCGTATGTCTTGGCTGTACACAGCCCCTTACATGGTCCACAGACTTCTCCAACTCAGCTGTTCCCAGTCTGGACTTAGCATCTTCCCTCTAAAACCACTGCTGCTTCTCCTCGGACCCCTAATCTCGTGGGATGGGACTATCTTGTAGCCTTCTTCCAAATCGCAAGCTTAGAGCATCCTACTCTCTTCCTCAGCTCCTCACCTATCGTTTACCATGTTCAGTGCGTTTCATTTTTCACTTTTCCCGCACATCTGACCCTCCTCCTTTTCTGAGCTGCACTCCTTGCCTTGTGTTTTCTACCCACCTGTTGTAGCTGTTTCATGACTTGCCTCCTGCTTTCTGGCTTATCTTTCCTCATTTGCTTCTTACCGTTTTCTTCTCTGCATCCTCTGAGTATTTTATGGGCTGCAGCTGGAGTGTTGCCCTGAGCACCGGTTGTCATTCCTCTGCTTTAACTTTCTCACACGTCTGTGGAATGAAGTTCCAGCTCCCTGGCATGGAACACAGGGCCTTGTCTGTGTGTCAGTCTTACTTCTGAGTACTCCTCACCTTGCACTTGGTGCTTAGTGAGTTACAGAATGGTGCCGGCGGCTGCCAGCTGTGAGTTTCTGTATTGACACGGACTGGCACTGTTTCCCCTGAACACTCTGCCTTAGCCTTTGTACATAGACACTTTCTTCTCCCCAGTCTGCCCTTTGCACCTTTCTTGCCAGCTCAGTCTGGCTTCTTTGGAAGGTCCTGTGAAGGCATAATCTTTGGCAGTTTTTCTTGAGTCCAGAGGTTGGACTAAATACCTTGTATTTTCCATGATCTTTATTTATAACTCTTTTTTTTAAAAGCCAAATATTATTGAAATTATCTGTATGTGTCTGTGGGTTCTTTGAGGCCAGAACCTTATTATCCTTTACTGTGGAGTGTCTTGGGCAGTAGTATCTGGCTAAGTATGTTTTTCTTGAACTGAATTAGGTAAGTCTGAAGGGAGACTGCTTGGAAAGGTATGTTGGCCCTAACTGCAGACATCTTTGTGAATAATAAGCATTCAAATATTTGATGAATGAAGAAGTAGAAATCAGATTGTTTCATAAATCTTGTTAGTTTTGGTAGAAAATAACCCAAGGTAATGAATCCTTCATTATCATAGCCATGTCTGTGGTTACAGTGCACCAACATGAAACATAATACCTTGTTAGCTTTTAGAGGCAACGTGCCCATGCCAGCTACTTCATGACATCTAGGATCACATCATGTGTCATCTTTGTGCCTGTTTCTTGGGTGCTGAGTCTTACATCTGTTCTGTGCCTAATCTGCTCTTGCCAAGACTGACCCCAGAGAAGAAGTTGCCAGTGTTTATACCTAGAGCTGGAGCTGGCAAGCTTATCATCTGTTTTCATAAATAAAAAATTTTTTCTGTTGGAACATAGCCAAAGCATTCATTTACATATTATCATCTACAGCTACTTTTGTGCTAAAACAGGCTACATGGCCAGGTGTGGTGGCTAATGCCTGTAATCCTAGCACTTTGGGAGGCGGAGGAGGATTGCTTGAAGTCAGGAGTTCAAGAAATTAGGCAGGTGTTGGTGACAGTTGCCTGTGGTCCCAGCTACTCTGGAGGCTGAGGCAGGAGGATTTCTGAACCTGGGAGTTTGAGGTTGTAGTGAGCTGAGCCTGCCCTGTAGCCCAGGTGACAAGAGTGAGACTTCATCCCCTCCCCCCAAAAAAATCTTAAACATTTTGACATCTTGTACTAAGTCTATACACTATATGTCTTTACTATAATTTTTGCTTATGAAAAAAATTTTGATTTTTATATGTTACTTCCTTTTTTAGGATGTTTGACCAATTTTAATGTATTTTAGGTTGCCTGTCTGATTCGAGTTCCATCTGAAGTGGTTAAGCAGAGAGCACAGGTATCTGCTTCTTCAAAAACATTTCAGATTTTCTCTAACATCTTATATGAAGAGGTGAGACATATTTTTAAGTACTCTATCTCTTTTTTCCTTATTGAGAAAGATTTTATAGTAGCTAATGTTAGCACTATGGCCTTAGTGCTCATCCCTGGAGCCTTAGAGAGAACCTTAGAGCTAAATTTAATGTCCAATTATAGTAACTCTTTTGCTAGGATCATCTTTGCCTTTCTTTGATTTGTTTTTGAATGTTTATTTTCATTTTTATTTGTTTTTCAAACTTCTAAACAAATGTTGAGTGCCATTACTGCATATGTGTCCTGCATTGTAATCTTGCTGCTGTTCTTCTGGGGTCAGACGTGAAACAAATGGTGCATCTGTGAAGTGAATGAAGATATTATCTTAACACTGAATGGGCACAGTGTAGGGTGTATGGCACACCTTTTGGGTGCAGACATAACTACAAGAGGGACTGTATCTTACAGATAGTATGACTTGGTTGTTTATACCCTCACATTAACCAGAAATTAAAAAAAAGATATTCTCTTAAAGCATCACTACAGAATTTGAGGACCTGTGGAAGAGAGATATAATGGACCAGTAACAGTGACTAAACTCATAGTGTTTTCATCAAAATGTCATTCCTCTGTCACTGATTATTGTTGAGCTGTGGCTCAGAAGTTGTTCTTCCGGCCACGCGACTTGGGAGCATTTAACTCTTTTCCTTTATAGTTTTTGTGGAAGCATTTTATTAAAAAATGGAAATCAATACATGGAAATTTTAATGAGTCTTACTTTTAGAAAAGTTATTCTTAATGATCTGTCGCCTAGGTGAGCAGACATCAAATTGTATAGATGTGATCAGTCTTATCAGAGACCCATTTAAGTGTGGATGGTGAAATAAATAAATCAGAGTTTGTCTTGGAATATTTATCACTACTTTATTGAGAGATTATTAATGACTTTCTATTTGAAGTTATGAAATTGAGAGATTATTAATGAATTTCTGTTTGAAGTTATGAAATGTTCTGTTTTTATTTGAAGGGATAATTGGCATTTATATACATTTGCTTTTGGAAATATATTTAAAGCATCTCAAATATTCTTTTCAAAAGAAGAAATATAAGAGCAGTTAGATGCAAATAACACTATTTAGTAGACTAATAGCAACTGAAACTAAATTAGTATGTAGTCAGTTTTATTATTAAAGATGTTCCCATTTTGAAGGGAACTAACCTGAGCTTTTAATGCACATTAGGTCAGGTTAGAACATTTGACCTCTTACAGAACTGTGGTACTTGTAAATGTTCTAGAACTTAAAGTATAGAGTGGGTAAATCTGCTGTACTCAGTATGTCATTTAGTAATCTTCTTTGCAGTTGTCTCTGACCTCTTGGCTTTTGTTTGTTTCAGGGCATCCAAGGGTTGTATCGAGGCTATAAAAGCACAGTTTTAAGAGAGGTAAATCACTTAATTTCCAGTGTTGATGTACCAAAGGATGACATGTTTTTGCTCAGTAAATTTATACTTCTTGATAATCAGAAGTATGTTTGGAGGATCTTGGATTAAAAAATCAAACAGGGAAATTAGGTTCACTCTTTTAAGAACCGAGATTAAATAGTGTTTATGTCTAAGAGAATGGGTTTGCTGGAAGAGCATTCCCAGTGGTCAGAGTGGCCTATCGTATAGCTTCCTTGTTATTGTAGGGGGAGGACAAATGTCTCTTATAGCTGAAAGATTGAGAAATCACTGCTAAGGGTAAGATACCGAGTTAATTACCATAATGTGAAGAATTAGTGAAAACTGATAATGAAAGGAGCACTGTAAGAGACAAGTATCTCAAAGGTCCGTATCTGGCACTTAGTTCTTGGCTTCCTCATAACAAAAATATGCTGGGTTGGAAAGATCAGTCTAGGCTGGAGTCCTGGCTCTGCAGGGGGCTGCAGTGTGGTGAGCTCCAGGGCGAGGCACTTCTGTCTGTGCCGTCTAACTCGGAATTCCTGTGATTCGGCATGTGGGGAATATTTCTTCAACTTTTTTGCTTGAAAAAGCAAAACTTTTACATCAGTAAATGCTTTTAGTAAATTACTGCAGAAAGCATGTTTAAATCTTTGCCTCCCACAGGAGAGACTATCTCGAAATTGGAATATTGGTTTTAGATAGGTGAGATAATAAAAAAATTGTTTCATTTGGTACGTTGTTTTGTATCAAAGAAAACAAGCAAGGACCTGCATGTATCTGCTCTGCATCTGCGTTTTCTCTTTGGAGGTCCTGGGATACTAAAACATAGATGTCTTAACTGGCAGAATATCAAAATTCTTTGAAATCCCTCATTTTGGTATTTTGTTTTCAACTGTGGCTTACAATCTTCTTTATGACACACCAACACTCTTAAGTATGATTTAAAGTTTTGGTTTCCACGAGGTACCAATCTATTGTGTAACCTATTTAGTGAAGCTCTTTGAACAACTTCTTTTCTTTTTGCTTTTTTTTTTGAGACAGGAGCCTCAAGCTGTCCCCCTGGGTAGAGTGCCATGGCATCACAGCTCACAGCAACCTCCAACTCCTGGGCTCATGTGAGTCTCCTGCCTCAGCCTCCCAAGTAGCTGGGACCATAGGCGCCTGCCACAACGCCCGGCTAATTTTTGGTTGCAGCCGTCATTGTTTGGCGGGCCCAGGCTGGATTCGAACCCACCACCTTGGGTGTATGTGGCTGGCGCCTTAGCCACTTGAGCCACAGGTGCCAAGCCTGAACAACTTCTTTTGAAGGCATACTAAATGTTTCAAAATTAGTTGCTTGTGCGAAGATGGCTTCTGCCTTTCAAAAATATCACCTGTGCTATTTCTTCACTCTTATTTTCTGTTCCACTAACCACATGTTACTTACTCAGATTTTACCTGGGTGCAGGAAAAAGAGAGACAATAAACCTTTTTTATTTTTCTGAGAGATGCTGAATAAATGAATATATTTACATGCTAGAGAATACTGGTTTTGCATGCAAACAGATAAAACACATGGTTACAACTGCACTCTATTTTTTTTTTAAATCTGTTTTGACATATGTCATACCAGTAATTAATTTCTAGGCTGCAATCCTCGCAAATATCGTGACCTTACTGAGATGACTTTGTTTACTCAAAATGGCAGTGCTTTGTTGGAAATTTAATTGGGGCCTTCTGCATTATGTGTGCTCATAAAAGATCCTTCAGAACTGATTTTAGTTGAAGTATTGCTTTTGTACAGATTCTCTGATAGAATGGGAAAAGAATTACTGCTGAATGAAACATAGCTTCTTTTTAAAAATGAGAAAAATAAGAAGTGATCTATCTACTTTAAACAAAATTTTTTGCATCATAGTTTGAATTCTTACATTATTCTGGCACCAATATAAAATCTTTTTGCCAAGAGCTTGTTTGATTGTTTCAATAAGAAAATACATTGAAGCCTTTGTGAGAATCACTGGTAAACTTATACATTTATTCTGTGTGCTGTTTTTTGTTTGAAGTAGTTTTATATCCCTGGTAGCAACCATTAGAATGAGAATGAAGTTTGAATCCATGCATTGTAAGATAGATTATGTGTGTTCTTTAGTTTTTGTGAACGCTGTTACTCTTCTTTTACTGCATTTGATATTTGTGGAGATTGCATGCTTATTCCTTATGTTCTCTTAAATTATTTTAGTTGCTGTGAATTTTAGATTGAGTCTAAGCAAGGTCAACATATTATACTGTTTACCTCACCCTTTCCATATTCATTTTTCCCATGATCTTGATCAAATTAGATGTGGTGGAGCATTGTGATACAGCAGTGTTACTACAATGAGATGTCGTGGGAAGCAAAATCGCTGCTGCTTTCATAGCTAGGATGGTTTCCAATGATCCATTGGCCTGAAAATTCTAGAGAGCAGCTTCATTCTCTTAGATATGAATTAGAAGGACGTCTGTAGAGAAGGAAAATAGAGAAAGGCAAGTTGTTTCAAAAGCAGTAGAAATAAGTTAATTTCAGCAGATGTCTTTTATCCACTCATTTTACTCAACAGTCAATTTAATTTAATTTTATTGTATTTATTTTTTTTGAGACAGAGTCTCACCGTATCACCCTTAGTAGAGTGCTGTGGTGTCACAGCTTACAGTGACCTCAAACTCTTGGGCTCAAGCAATTGTCTTGCCTCAGCCTCCCGAGTAGCTGGGACTTACAGGTGCCTGCCACAACACCTGGCTATTTTTTGTTGCAGTTGTTGGTTAGCTGGCCTGGGCTGGGTTTGAACCCGCCAACTTCAGTGTATGTGGCTGGAGCCATAACCGCTGTACTATGGGCACCGAGCCTCAACAGTCATTAATTTTAAAGTGCCTACAGTGTGTTGGGCATTATGCAGAACATTCTGCCCTAAAGGTAGTGGGGAAACACATGGGGAAGTAGACACTGTACAGGATAGGATAAGGAGCTACGTGGTGATGTGTATATACAACTGGGATTATGGAAGAAGCAGTGCTCTAGTGGTACCCAGTTAGCTGTTGTTATTAATAAGTGTGAGTCTTGACTTAATTCTTGAAGGAGTGGCAATTAGAAATATGGTGAAGGAGATGAGTCCTTGAAACAGCATAAGCAAAGGCACAGGGTGTGAAAGATCACGGGTGTATCTCCTTATCTAGGCAGAATTGGGATTTTCACATCCATTAAAGCATGAGTTCCCCTACCTCAAACTGACTGAGGATGCTTCAAGACAGCACACAGTGGGGTGTTTGTCAGGAGGATAGGTTGACCCTCTCACTCCAGCTGAGTGTGTGCCAGGGGCTGGGGTAGAGACCCTGGGAAAAGCCCTTGACAAAGCCTGACGTGTGTCTCTTGAGTTGGGAGGATGGCTCTGTCTGACTCTCAGGTGAGCAGCTGATTAGAGCTGACCTTGTGGTAGGGTGTTGCCTGAATTGTGGTTATGAGAAACTCCTGGCTTCTTTTTGGTAGATCAGAGTACCTGCTAAAGAATTGAGATAGTGGCTCGGCGCCTATAGCTCAACCGGCTAAGGCGCCCGCCACGTACACCTAAGGTGGCGGGTTCGAACCCCCAGCCCGGACCCGCCAAACAACAATGACGGCTGCAACCAAAAAATAGCCGGGCGTTGTGGCGGGCGCCTGTGGTCCCAGCTACTTGGGAGGCTGAGGCAGGAGACTCGCTTGAGCCCAGGAGTTGGAGGTTGCTGTGAGCTGTAATGCCACGGCACTCTACCCAGGGGGACAGCTTGAGGCTCTGTCTCAAAAAAAAAAAAAAAGAATTGAGATAGTTGAAAGCTATTACTCCTCACCCTCACCCTACAAGCCATCACACAGCCAAATAAATCATTTAGCCTGTTCAGTAAGTTCACCGAAGCACCCAATCTTTAGGTGCAGATATCACCGCTGTGAACAAGTTCACTTGAAAGTGTATATACCAGCTTTTCATACGTGGTTACCTTTATCGTCCACTTTAGGGAGTGAGGATCCCCCCAAATTCAGTCACTGGACCCAGGAACTCTCCTTTCCATCTGAGTCTGCCCACTCAGTGGGTGTGAATGTACAGAAGTCTCTGTGTGTCTTTCTAGAAACGCTCCATCCTAGGTGTCTTGTGTCTTATTGCTGTTAACCTAATATATTTTGAAGATCATTATATCACTTCATAAAGAGCATCCTCGTTTTTTATGATTGTCTAGCACTTTATTGCATAAATGAACTGTTGTTTATTTAACAGTTCCCCATTGGTGGACATTATGAAGGTGCTGCCATAATGGTCGAGAGTATTTGTAGGTTTTATGCCAAGAGGTAGCTTTACTTGGTTAAAGGTTTGTAATTTTGATAGATGATAACGCCGGATTACTCTTCATGGAAGTTCTCATTGGCAGTTGCCAAGAATGCCGGGGCTGTGCTTTCCCCTGCCTCACTAATGGTACTAGCTGCCTAAAAGATGAAAAATGATATTACTGTAGTTTTAATTTCAAGCAAGCCTGGGCATACTATATATATGAAAACTGTTTCCTTTCCTTTCCTATGAAATGATTATTCTAATGGTCATAAAATTCTTGTGAGAATTAAATGAGACAATCCCTGGGAAGTCTTTATACAGTGTCTTTCACTGGTATGTGCTAAAGAAATGTGAACTGATGATTAGTGCTCTTGATAACTGAACCTTTGACAGTAAAGGACACCTAAGTGTGGAAATACAGCTCTTGCCCTGACCAGCTGTCTGCCTTTGGCAATTACGTTAACCTTTCTGAGCCAAAGTTTTGCCCATTCATGTTAGGAACTTTGCACAGACTGTTCTCATTCATATCTCAATGAACAGTGGTTCTGTGAGGCAGATACTGCAGCAGCACAGCCTGCTAGGAGCCTCAGAAACTAACTCTGCCTCTAGGTTGTCAGGCTCTTGAACAGGGTGCAACCTTGAGCTGGCTGTAGTTTGACAGAGAATGTCATTTTGAGATGATGAGTA